TCCATCTCAACTTCGAATAACCATAATTTCTTCATACGAACTCAGGTTTTAATGATTTATATATTCACACTCCTGTATTCGAGTCAAATATAACTTTCTTTTATATTAGTTTTGCTAAAAGGATTATATTTTAACTTATAATCTCATAAAACATAAGGGTATTTATGATTTGTCCTCAAACCTATACACCCATACATACTTTATCGTTCACCATTTCATATATTCTAGTAAAATATTTATCTTAACCTTTATTCAACTTATAAAAGTATTACACCCCTCTTAATATTCATAAAATGACTGAAATTCCCCTATGATCTATGTATATATATATATATATATATATATATATATATATATATATATATATATATATATATATATATTATTTTGTTTCTTATATTTATTGTGTGTTACAATGCACCAATAGGAATTTAGTAAATTAAATAATTATTTAATTAAATAAATATAGATATTAAATGATTTCCATAATTATATGTATATTAAATGATATCCATAATTATAATTCTCTTTTTATAGAAACTAATTAAATCCGTCATTAATGTCAGCAATAACATTCTTTCAGAATGAATTCGCATCTAGGTTTTTATATATGAGTTCGTATTTTGTTTTAGAACCCACTCACTTAAAATACAATAAAGTTGCATAGAATATGAAGAACGAGAGTGTATTCTACTAGAATACACTCTCATTCTGCTGGAATATACTCTCATTCTTCTAGATATGAATTTATTCTGAAAGAATATTATTGTTGACATTAATGACGAATTTAATTAGTTTTCATAAAAATGAGTTATAAGTAGGGGTTTGGCTAAAAAGACACCCCATTTTACCATTTAGACAACCCTAATTAATTTTTGAAATATTTTATTGTTTGAAATTGCATTGTTTTCCGAAAAAAATGATTACAAGGAGTTGATTATAGGTTGACTTTTTATAAAAATGATGATAGGGTGTCTTATAAGTATGGATAGCATTTAATATACATATAATTATCACTAAATTCCTATTGGTACATTTTAGCACACAATAGATGTGAGAAACATTTGAACCTCTCTCTCTCTCTCTCTCTCTCTCTCTCTCTCTCTATATATATATATATATATATATATATATATATATATATATATAAACACTGAATAAGAACCACGGTTTTAAATAATGTGAGGCGTGACGTGACGACAATGTTAAACCTCAAACATTATGAGTCACGACGAGACCATGACATATTTAAGGTGTGATTTAACGCAATAACTTTGTATATAATTTATTTTATATATAAATATATACATATGACTTAAAACATCGTTTATTACGGCATGCTGTCGGATACAAGTGTTGAGACCATGGCACACTTAGCGAAACATAACGAACTTTGAACTTTTTAGAACATTAAAAGATAACAAATTCTAAAAAACACCATCCATGCTAGACAAACACTAATGTATACTCCTTTAACAAATTACTTCTAAATATTATATTATAATTATATGTTTATTACATAAGGCTATGATTTATTATAATTTTTTAAAAAGTTATATACTAAAATGATAAAAATAGTGCCACAGAAACCGTATTCTCGTCACTGTCATGTAGGCGTCACGTCACTTTTTACCACAAAAGTGTGGTTCCTTGCCACACCCAAGGAATGGTGCCACATTTTTTTAACAATTTAATTTAAATAAAAACTTTAATTTTAATAAAAAAAAACATTACATACCATTACTTCAAAATAAAAAAACATTACATATATTAACATATTAAATGATTTGTTATCAGTCAAATTTATTTTATCTAAATATCTATGTTAAATGAAAAGAAAAAGATGTAAAAATAAATAAATAAATAAAAAGCAAGATATTTTTGGGGAGAGAAAAGAGTTAAGAGTAAATTACACGAATCGTCCCTCATGGAGGTGACCAAATACACGTTTAGTCTTTATTTTCAAAAATTAACTCGGACCGTCCGTCGTTTGTTTAAAATGTGCACGTTTCATTCATCGTTAATTTAAATTTTCACGTTGTATCCTTTACCAGACATAAAATGATTATATTACCCTAAATATTTTATTTTTAATTTAATTATAATGTATTATGTATATAAGGAAAATGTCACCGTAGCACAATAAAGTTTTGCAGTTTGTCCGATTTGACAACTAATGTTTTTTTTTACGCAATAGGTCACTAAAGTGCTATTTTACATGCTAAATAGGGGAATGATGCAATATTATTCCAGTTTTACCGGTTACACTTAGTATATATGGTTTTTTTATTTTTATTTTAAAATTAAAAGTAATCCTTGGTATACATGGTTTTTCACCTTATTAAAACATAAATTAAAACAAGGCTTCACCTTCTTCTTCTCATTTGAAAAAACGACGACAACATCTTCTTACCAAATTAAGACAAGGCTATTATTTTTTATTATGTATCCCTTAATATTAAACAAACTTTTCATTCTAAAAACAATCGTTGTTCTTCCCACCACTACAATCACTTATTCTTTGATGAAAAAAATATGCCGACTGGTTCCTCTTCTTGTTCACACATTCCTTCTCTTTCGTTAAAACCAAAGACAATGAAGCACCACCACCATCCGATGACCCCTGGCTGATGTTCTCCGCTTCCCATTTATTTTCTGCAACATAAGCATTTTCAGTAGGGAAGAAGTACTTGGAAGAACTCGAATATGTAACATCCCGAAAATCAAAGGGTAAAAATTTCATTTTTATTTTAATCAAAACACTAATGTAACTTTATCCAAACATTTCAAAATAAAAAAAAAATTATCAGAGTTCGTTCCCAAAATCACATATTGCGGAAAACACAGGTGTATGCGCTGCGATCAATCCGGGTCATTCCCTTTCCAACCGGAAGTACCTGAAACCATAAACCACAAACTGTAAGCACAAAGCTTAGTGATTTCCCCAAATACCACATACCAAACATATCAAACGAGCCATACATATCCAATCAATCAATAAAAGTGCTATGTGTCAACCATAGTCTTGCCATTATGCCAGGAGCCGCCTCGTGGTCTTCCTTGCCAGGCGGGGGGCCAAAACCCTGGGTTTTACAGACAAGTGCCAGAAGCCACCTCTTGGTCTTCCATGCAAACTACCAAAGGTTACCCCCCGAGTCTTCTTACAATACATAAACCAAACGGGCCGACATTGGTGCCTTCGACCCATAAAACAGTGAGGAGACTCACCTCGAATGCAGAAGCTCGCTGAAAGAAATCCCTAGTTGCTTCCCTGATGACTCCTCCGAGCTATTAATACCAAAATAACACCCAATTAGCAATTGGGTTCCAAACTATAATCTGTAATCCATACTTGGGGTAAAATGAGCATTCTACCCTTGGCCCAACTTGAATCAAAACTGAGGCCCAAACCCAAAAACCAAAAAGGCCCAAAGCCAAAAGATCCATAAAGGCACACTAATGGCCCAATTTTCCAAATTGGACCCAACCCCCATATGGGCCTTATCCTAAGCCCAAAATGCAAACCTAATAAATTACTTCAAACTTTAATGAAAACCCCCACTTCACGAAATAAGCCCAAACTCAGCCCAAAGATGCGAGGCCCAAAAACATAACAAGTCCAAATCCCACGCTGAACGCGGGGCGTACGCTCAGCTACACTGGGCGTACTCGATGAACCCTGATCGCGACTTCAACTCGGTACGCTGGGCGTACGGCCAGTTACGCAGGGCGTAACCTGGCTTAATCCAAAAATTGATTTTTTGACTTAACCACTTAAGCCCTTCGCACCCAAACTTCAGGGAACCTTAAAATAAAGCTCTTAATGCATAAAGTCGGCACCTTTATGCATTTGCATGAATCTATGGGACCCAACAACCAACTTAATCACTTAAGACCCATTCAATTCCAACTAGAACATGCAAGGACCAAAGTTAAACATCAAGCAAGCATTTTTATGAACTAACAACATCAGAAGAGGCAAGATCTATCACTCCAAGCTCATGGAGTGGCTCAAACTCACAAGGAGAACTTAATACACCATAAAAACCCTTAATCTTGACCTAAACTCAAACTAGCATAAGAAGAAGTCAAGATAAGAACTTTATACCTTGAATGAGCTGGAAATGAAGCCAAAAGTCTGGAGATAAAAGTCTTCCATTGAACCACAAGCTAGCACCAAGCACCCTTCTCTTGAAAATGAGCAAAACACACTAAAATGCACACTTAGACCTCTCAGACACTCAAAATGAGGTTAGGGTTTCCAAAATGAGGCTAGAAGGCAATGAAGGTTGAGAAATGAAAGAGACTTGAGCTCATAAAGATGTTTAAATAATGCCCAAACCCTAAAAATTAGGGTTTGGCACTCTGCTCATTACGTTGGGCGTACTCACCCAGGCACGTGCCCTCCTCCATGCACGAATGGGACCAACTTGCCAACTTTTTCCACCAAGGGCCAATTTTGTCAATATCTTCAAATTGCCATAACTTCCTCATCTTATGTCCGTTTCCAACGAAGCTTATATCCACGGAAAGGCGGCGAGAAGCCCTACGTTTCTAACAACACACCCAAGCCTTACAACTTCCCGAACAAAACCCAAAGTCCATAAAGACCGAGTTATCAAATTATGATTATACCCTTGGCCTCCAAAGGCACCATCGAACACTTAGATCACTTAACCATGACACCCACATCTGAAAAGGGCCAAATCCTTCCTTCCCCAAGGCCCTAAGCTTCATGAAAACTGATGATTGGGCCACAACCCCGAATAATGAAGTAAATCCAAAACCGAGTGTTACAGAATCGGGTAAAACATAAATTACCTTCAGTAAAGTGTGAAAAAACAAAACCATAATGAGTTCCCCTAATTTGATTACCCTCAGAAAACATCACCCTGAACATGACCCACAGATTTCATTGCTGAAATCCAAAGATTCCATCGTCAGTCATTTCCGTCACTTCCTCCTCTCAAACAACGTTAACATCGGTGAAGGTGAAGTGTATGAGCTACGCCATTGGGTTTATGTTAGAGAACAATCGGTTGCTCGTAGATGGAGAGAGAAAACCAATGGTGTTAGCTAAGGCAGCCTCCTGTTATGAAGCGGCGGTGAATGACGCGGTAGCTGCACCGACACAAATAAGCAAAGGAGTGGTGGCGATTGTGAGAATGGCGATGTTTAGGAGGTTATATATGGTTACGAGATCTAGGTCACGGAGATCAATTGTTCAGTTGTTCATCGAAAAGGTATTAATTGACTTGATTTTTTTTTTGTAATTATAGTTTCCAATGCTTACAGATCCATGGAAATTTCAGGCTACAATCGATTGTAGGTTTTTCACCATTTTCGCAGTAGCAGGAACCTTCTTCTACTTGATGGTCAATTCAAATGTGAGAAGTGGATCCCGATGAAGAAGCTGGAGGATGGATATGATGGTTGATTAAGATGATAGAGATGTTGGTGTTCAACAATTCAAGGTGGGTGTGATGCTGGGTGTTATACGATCAAAACTCATACCGAAAGATAGAAGAAATAATACAACTAGGAAAAAAGGTAGGTGAGGTTAAATTTTTATATGACGTGACTTGTTATCTAGGTGGATTATATGACATGGCTATAAAAAAATACAAATTAATTATTAATACCACATCAGCTTTCTTACCGGTAACCTGTTAAATTTGAGAAAAAAATGGCTTAATTGACAGGTTATAAATGAGTTTAATGGACTATTGCGCAAAAAAAAACACATTAGTGACCAAATCGGACAAACTGCAAAACTTTATTGTGCTACATTTTCCCTTTGTATATATATAAAAAAGAAATAATAAATAAATTTCTACACCACACTCTAATCTAAACACCAAAATCCTAACACCCAGATTGGGACGTGCTGGCTGAGGAAGTGACCACCAGCTGCCCAGCTGCCCCGGACGTTATCCGGGTAAACACCTCCGCTCAATTTCGCCACAATATGTAGAAGCTCCGCCAACGCCACCGAGTCGAGTAGCAACACACCTCCGCCATCTCCAGCGAACGATTCTTCTCTTCCTAGCTCTACTTCGAATCTATGGAAACTACAGATCGATCGATAAACCATAGATCGAGAACATGGAGACCAAGGTGTCTTGTTCTCAATCGAACACATCCCTCACCGGTGGTGGAGCTGATGCTTTTTGGAGCTGAAGATGACAGTGGAGATGGCTGTGAGAGAGAGTTGCTTCGTGTGATTAATGTTCATCAACCATTTTCGTTCTTCTTCAAACTCTCTCGACAGTGGAAGAAATGTAGCAGCATGGGAAAAGGAGATGAAAATGAGAATAAATGTTGTTGGTGATGTTTTGGTCTCATCGGAAAGTAGAGACAACGAAAGGAAACGAGGGAAAAAAAGGGGGATGGGTAGGTTGGTATTGATATTTTTTTTGCCTTTTTTTTTTAATTTAAAAGTTATTAAGTGATAAAAGAAAATTAAAAAAGAAATTGTTAAGGGCAAAATAATTTTTTTATGTTCGGAGAGATGAAGTATACAAGTTTTAAACAAGTATACAAGTTTTAAACAAACAAGAGACGATCCAAGTTAATTTTTGAAAATAAGAACTAAACATACATTTTGGTAATTGTACGAGGGACGATTCGTGTAATTTAATTGAGAAAAAGAAAATTAAATACTCATATTTATTTGAAATAGACGTTAAAGGACTTTGTTTTAATATAAAAAAATTGGATTTCTAAAGAAAAATAAACAGGAGAAAGAGAGAGAGAGGTGCGGCCATGGAAAGCCGCACTGCGGTCTCTACCGCACCAAAACCGCAGGGGGAGGGGGCGGTATTCCGGCTGAGGTGACAAGGGAGTGCACTCTCTGTCGCACCCATTCCTCCTATCCTTATAATCTTACCCACCTTTTATAAATCCCTTCTTTAATTTACAAATTTTATTAGTTTTGGTGATCATGATCATATTTTCGCACAGTAATGTCACTTGGTGAAAAAATAATGGTGTTAGCAGAAAATAAAAAAAATCATGAAATCGTTTTAAGGTGTGTACTTATTTGAAATGTAAGACAAACTACAAACTCAAATGTCTATGCATGTTGCTCTAATGCTAAGAAGGTTGTCGGTTCTGATCCCCACAAGCTATATAGCTGTTTATTTATTTATTTTTATTTTTTATATTTTTTTTTAAGAAATGATTTGAACATAAAGCCTAATAATGGACAAACACCTTAATGTTAAAAAACTATTAAAACCAGAAATACTATTTTTTTTTATGAAAAACTATTAAAAACTAACTTCACAAATTTATTGAATTTTCATAACTTAAAATCAGAAAAACACGAAAATACAAATTTTCAAAATATAATTTGTAATATTATACAATAAGTAGTATATTTTTCATGTAATTTATTTACATTTATACAATTAACCAAACCTTTTAGTTTTTGGGTTGGGCTAAATTCTTTTGGGCTAAATACAACCATGTGATTGGAGACAAATAATGATTAGCCGTAGCCAGAGTGATAGACACGCATGGGGTTTTTAAACCACGGTGGCCTAGCCCTAGCCCTAGCCTAGGGCGGCTAGTGGGATAGGCTGGTCCTATGTCTCTACAACACAGTACTTGTATTATTTGTTTCTGTTTCACCCCTCAAGCTTTAAAAATAATTAATTTTTGTTCCTTTTTTCAGTGTCCTATACAAACTTTTCTAGTGTCAAACTTACATTAAATTCAAAATTCGATGCAGAGAAGTAGAGAAGTAACATTTACACTGTTAAAAAAGACCGGGATAATCACTGATATATCATCCATCGAAAATTATCTTCAAATGTCTATATGTTTTATAAAATAGTTTTTGCCAAATCGATCTTAGTTTACCGACATTTCTTTCAAATTTAATGAGATTATTCATGTATTTGCAAAACAGTAAGTGTTTTGTGAAATTATAGATAAATCTAGTAAAATTTTAGAGGTTGTATGGGAAACTATTCAAATTTTACAAAGTATTTATTCATAGTTTACGAAATTATTTTGCATAATAGACATCAAATGAAATGTTTTTGTAGTATGAATAAATAATTAATTAGTTGATAGTAATTTCTTAAAAAAAACAATATGTGGTGATATTTTTTTTTTTTTTGAGATGACAAATAGACATCAAATATACTAAACTAGGGGTGAGCAAAAACCGAACCGCAAACCAAAAAAACCGTATAAACCGAAACCGAAATGAAAACCGACGGTGCGGTTTTTAGTTTTGCAAAAACCGAAAATGTTCGGTGCGGTGCGGTTTCTAGTCTTGCAAAAACCGCAAAAAACCGAACCGCACGAATATATATATATATATATATATATATATATATATATATATATATATTAAGTGTTGATAATTGTAAGAACGAAGAACTCATGGCAATTAAAATTTCTATAAATATAAATATCTATCTTATCAGAAGATAATTGTATATTTTTAAGTATACATATAATGATATTTACAAGAACAAATAATGTTTATTATATTCTTTAACATTTTAATATTAAGAGAACTAGTGATGATAATATCATTTTTATGAATACATTAATTGATATTATCGTATGTATCTGTAAAACAAATATTATATTTAATTTGTATTATATTCAAACATTAGAAACATGTTGGATGAGTGGTTATGTTATTTGATTTCAAACCAAGAGGTGGTGGTATCGGTTCATCTCGAAGATATTATTTGGGCTTTAATTTTGCCAGCCTTATAAGAGTATCCCTCATCGCATTTGAGATAAAACCTTTATCCTTTTCACATTTCATATAAGAGAGTCAAGTCTATGGATTTTAACCCACATCTTTGAGGAGTCGCACATTGCTGGGGATGAAAATTTTGGCTCTCATCATCTCTACATAAAGTTTCTCAAAAAATGATTAACACTTCTCATCCGAGTTAAACTAACTCGTTGAGTTACGTGAGTTTTAGTAAAAAGGCAAAAAAAAAACCAAATAAAAAAAATTGACAAAAAACCGCAAAGAAAAAACCGAACCGCAAAAAACCGAAAAAAAACCGTAAAAACCGAACCGCATAAAAAACGAACGGTGCGGTTTCTAAACTTCAAAAAACCGAAGTTGCGGTTTTCGGTTCGGTTTTGGCCAAAAACCGCACCGAACCGCACCATGCTCACCCCTATACTAAACTACTTCTAAATTAAATAACTTATGACCGCAGTTGGACTTGAAATCTCACCTCAATAAAGGAAGACAACACTGGATATCCTTGAGCTAGAAGCCGATATGTTTGGTTGTTTTAAGTGATTATCATATATAGAGATATATGGCTTCTATTATTAATAAGAAGTTGGCAAAATTTTAAATTTTATTAAAGATCTAAATGTTAGCTTATGTAACAATAATATATATAATATATATATATATATATATATATATATATATATATATAGATATATATATATATGAAGTGGTTCAAATGAGAACCAAAAAAGATTAAGAACTCTAAGAACTATCTTTTTAATTTTTTTATTAATGACATTTTGATCAAATCAAACATTAATATTATATCAAACCACACTCTTCATTTCCATAATTTACAACCATTTTGCACTCGTCGTCGGACCGTTGTCGTGCAACTACATGACGTCGTCAAACCGTCACCGGACTAACAAAAAAGTCAGTGGAATTTTCTGGTCAAATCCACAACTTAATAAAACAAACATTATTATTCCTAATATGCAAATTTAATAAAAAATAGAGTTATGTTTTGACAAATACAATTTTTTCTATTCTAAATCACATATCTCTTTAAAAAATATATCGTTTATAAGACTTATTCACAATTTAAAACTATTCACAATTTAATAAACATATTAATTCACTAATTCACAGTTTATTATTCTTAATTCATAGTATGTTATTCTCAAACATACATTCATTCATATTTTAATACAAATTTTAAATAAAATACACAACTTAATATAGTTCATTATGAATTTAATATATAAAGTTCACAACTTAAGGCAATCTATTATGCATTAGTTTTACATATTTAAAGAAGTAAAACTCAAACTCTACCACCACCACTACCTATCACACGCCACCACCAAACACTTGTGCCATTGTTGGAACAATCATTCCTTCCAAATCATATATGTATATAAAGTCATATACTGAAAGCTTCAATATTATATTCACAATTTAATAAACTTATCCGTTCACTAATTTAGAGTTTAACGCAAAACATTAAAAAAAATAATACATTCTTACATATTTATACAACATGAAAAATAAATATAATCACAAGAAAATTAATACAAACATTCATACATAAATCAATCATATTTTAACGCAAAATTTATGAGAATTTTACAACTTAATACAATTAATTCATAACTTAATACAAATAAAACTCACAACTTAATATAATAAATTCGTAGTTTAATGCAAAAAAAAAAAATACAATTACAGTCATATTTTCAACTTAAAACTTATATCTATACCACCGGATCTGGAGGTTAGTGTTTCTTTCAAAAGATTAACTTATACAATATGTGTATAATGTTTCTGTCATCTCACATTTCAAAAGCTAACACAAAATTCATAAAAAAATCACAGCTTAATATAGTTAATTCATAATTTAATATTGTAGATTCACAAATTAATACACAAAATTAACAGTTTAATACAATAAATTATTTAATTTAGAGTTTAATACAAAAAAATTATACATTGACAACCATATTTTCAAATTAAAACCTACATTTCAAGATTTTCATTCACAATTTAATAAAGCAGTTCAAGACTCTCATTCATAGTTTTCACAACTTAAATACTTATATGATTTTGTTGAAGCATATCGTCAAACACCTTGTGTGCACCACATAAATTCGCATTTTAATAGAGCATTTCAAGACTCTTATTCACAGTTTAATAAAAAGATCACGACTCTCACTCACGGTTTAATAAAACACTCAAGGACTCTCATTAGTTCATAGTTTAATAAGGAGTTAACAGTTTAGTAAAGAAATTAAACACTCTCATTCACAGTTTTATAAGGCAATTCACGACTATCATTCACAATTTAATAAAAAAGTTTAACACATCAATTTAATAAAAAAAGTTTAACACATTACTCACATTCACAATTTAATAAA